CTAGGCACTTGAGATGGGTGTGGGCACATGCATGGGGCCAGGGCTTGATGGGGACGATATGCTGGACACGCTCCCCATGCTGGCTTTCCATGCCCTGCGCAACCAGCCCTGGAGGGCTGCCAGCAGCACCCAAGACAGGGACATTATCCTGAGCTAGCAGACACCCCACCTCAGGGACTGGTAGGCACCTCCAGTGCATTTGGGGTCCTAGGGACAGATAAGGCCAGGGTATTGTTTAGAACAGATTTGAGAGGTGCCCCCAATCACATCACCATGCCAATGGCCTCCAAAGGCTCCTCCCCTGGGCCCTCTACACTGTCCCTGGCCCAGCTAGAATCCCCCTGAGCTGGGGGTTGTGCTGAGCTTTGCTATGGTGCCTCCTTGAGCAAGAGGGTATTTCTCCATGGGAAATTTCCCTGCATTATGGTCCCTTTCCTCCAGCCCAGCCAGGTGTCAGCACTCTTCCTTCCCTCACAGCTGCCTCTTCTCTGCTCCTAGGAGAACTGAGAAACTGTCACCCCAATGCAAGAGTGGTGAAGTGGAAGAACAGTATCCGCAGGCAGCAGGAGGGATTTTCTCTCCACAAAAGAAGCATTGCTCTGACAGATCAAACACCCCTGTGTGGCTGCTGCTTAAGAATTTTAGGCCTGACCCTCCCCACGTGCACAGGTCTGCCAGCAGCGGGTGTCCCTTGACTTCCCTGGAGTTGTTCCTCCTTGGTGCTCATGGGGGTGAGACCCACTGTGTTTTCCTTGGTCATTGCCACAGGGTTCATGACTGAGTTCTCTCAGAGGACTCCTGACATGGCTCCTTTGTGGCCGTCTGTCACATCTCTGCCTTCCCTGGTACTGCAGTCAGTGGGCTCCTGCCATATCAGGGTATTGGAAAAGCACTGTCTCATTGGTTCCCTTCCTGTGGCACACAGTACGGCCCAGCTCAGGGTTTCTTTTTCTCATAGCACCCTTTGTGGCTGTGGTGTTCAAGAGAGGCCTGAGTGTGTGACCTGGTGGATTCCCTGTCCTGCATTCCTAGATCCCTAACAAAGCACAGAAGCTAAATGAGAAATATAAATGTCCTCTCCCCTAAAAGAATAAACCACTACTGCTGCCTGATTTGCCTTTGCCTTGGACTCCATGACCGGTAGCATACTCTTCCCAAGTCTATTTTATGTCTTTATTGCTTGTCCCCACAGTTGTTTTTTTACGCAGTTTTCTCACTCCCTCTTTCCTTAATGCTTTCCTGCCTAATCTGCAGTAACTACAAGCCATCCCCATGAAATAAGAAGCCCCTGTTTTCCACTCACACACACTTAATTATCCCTCATAATTCACAAAATGAGACATGTTTTCCCCAGGGAACTGTGCCTGCTAAATGCAAGCTTGATCCTGGTGCTTTCATGTTTTTGAACTCGATTCTTTAAATTCCTTTGGAATTAACATCTTTGAACTGCAGTTTCAAATGCATATTTCTCCTGACCCAGAACCAGTTCAATTAGGCAGTATTCCAGATCAGATTGGCCTAGGAATTTACACTATAAACTATCACGTTTGATGCTTCTCTGTGCCAAAGAGACAAGCAGGAGACAATTCAGTTTCTCACTGCTCCAGTGCTAGAAAGATTTTAGCACAATGCATCCATTTGACCTCTCCAAAAAAACCAGCTGCAATGCTGATGAACCTTTGCTCTATTTTCCCTTGATTGAGTTACTGCAGACACTAATAGCTGTGGCTAAGGGATGAATGTATCTGTAAAGCCCTCCATTACTGGCCTGTCTGAGCATCTCATGCTCACTATCATTTTCTCACCCCATGAGGTAGGGAAGAACAAGAAAAATAAGGTCTTTTCCTCCTTTAAGTGCTGTAGTATAGGTAATAGCTTTGTGTTGGGGCCCAAGCCTAGAGGATGCAAATACTGAAGGGAGAGCCAACACGTCAGTAATTGTGTCTGTGACGGCCCAAAGGAGAACAAACAAACCTTTCCCAGAGCTGGTGTGCAGGCTCTGTATCTAGGACACACCACTTTTGCAGGATCCTGGCTTCCTCCTGTGCAGTTGGCTGGCACGGCAGATCACGTTGTGTTGTAGCGGTGTCAGTGTAACTGGGGTGGTCCAATGAAAGATCTCACCAAACAAATCTTTCTTATGGCAGATGAAGTGTAACTGTAGCCTGTTGCTGGATGGCCTCTAGCTGGTGGATCTGCCTCTGTAAACATCGTGTGGAAAGCTATTTTTGTCTCTTGCAGGTAGAGAGGTATTTAAGCCCGCTCCCAGTTCTGAGGAAGGGAGCTGCACACAGCTTGGCCTCTGGGAACACCCCAAGGTGTTGGAGATGGGAAGAAGTAGGCAGGGCACTGCACACTGGGAGAGCTACTAAATATTAAGTGGCACTACAGTGCCACAGCAGCAGCAGCCACTTGCTAGGTTCTGAGTGATTCCTTGGAGCTCATGTGGAGGTCCCTTCAGTCTGCCCCTTCTTTGGGACCTAGGCTACTCCAGAGCAAATGAACTGGGACTTGGTTCATGCTGCCAAAGATGCTATGGAAGTGGAAGTCTGAGTTGTCAACAATTTTAACCCTTATGCTGTGGTTCCACACACACAAAGAAGCTCTTATTAGATGTGACCAGAAAAGGGGGGCCACATCTTGGGCTGGTATACTCTTGCCTCTTCATGATAAAACTAATCAACATGAAATGTTTAGAGACAACAAGATCACTGACACAACAGGGTCACTTTTTCTAGTGGCATAACTAGGCTGAAGTGACTAGGGTAACTGCCCTGGGCACTGACTTGGGAGGGTACAGATAAAAGGCTGGCAGCCACAAGACCATGGGGGTGGTGAGGCAGCAAAGGAAATCACTGCTGCCTAATACCTAGCCACTCCCTTACACCACTGACCTTTCCATCTGCCCTGAGCCAGGGCAGCCTGTAGCTGTGTTGCCCCAGGCACAGCTGTGGGAGGAGACTGAGAGTTTGTAGAGCTTGTTTCCCCATGCTATAACCTAGAGTGCATGTAGCCTGCACAAGGGAACAAGGACTAAAGACAGTCTAGCCCAAATCTGGCTTCAGAGGAGTCTGGTTTTGCAAAAACTGGATGCCACCTATCTGTGGTACTGTTCACCAGGAAGTGTCTCCTCTACCTGAACCTCCTGAATATATTTTTAAGGTGTAGCTGCTTCTTGCAGATTACACCCCCACAAGCCAAATGTCACACAGAGCCAAAACATTAGAGTCTCTATGGCAGCTGGAGAACGCATGCAATCATACCATCCCACCCCACCAGGCTTGTGCTGTATGTACAGCAAAGACTACCATAATTTAGCATTAAAAGAACAAAACTAAAGATGGTTACCTTGCCCTATCACATGTCCTTCTATTTATACTATCAGGCCCATGGTCACCTTTCATTCTTTATCAGATTCCATGTTGCCTTCTGTTATTTTAAATTGCCACCACATCATTTTCGTGTAAGAAATGCACCCTGAGGTCTCAACATTAGAAGTAGTTAGGATACACCTATGTGGTGTCAGGCAGTGTCACACAAAGATACTCAAGCCAGCTCTGTAGAAGCTAACTTTGCAAACAAAAGCAGTTAAGCTGCATTAGTGCAAGGCTGCACCCAGGCTAACTAGTGTTGCTTATGCAGTTAACTTCACTGTGTAGACATCACAAGCATGTGCACTGCAGTTTGATACGAGATGCCAGCATGTGTGGAGGTACCTGAACCAACCCTAATCTAGCAAGCTCAGATAACATGCGCAGTGTAACCATGGTGGCAAAGTTCTGAATGGGTTAACCCTCTGAGTGCTTACACAGGGGCCTGTGCTCCCAGGGATGCTTCCCTATTCTTACTTGAGCTAGCCCAGGCTGAAGCTAGTTAACATATGACTACATGGGCTGAAGTCACACCTCTGATTAGAGTGCAGACTCACTCAGACTACAAGCTCTGTCTTTTTGTTCTGTGTCTGTGCAGCCCCTAGTACAATGGAAGCCTGATCCATAACCAGAGCATTATTGCCATATCTCTAATAATGAATTACAGCAGAAGTGTAAGCAGATAGGTCACTTCCTGCACACACAGCTAGCAGACTCCTGAGGGGTATCAAGTTACCCATGTGCTTAAGGCTTTGGGGCGACTGGTGCCTCCTGAGTGTGTGTGTGTGTGTGTGTGTGTGTGTGTATGTGTTGGGGGTGGGGAGACACTTGCTCCCCGCTTCCCCCCAGCGGCCAGTTAGTGATGGGGGGTGGGTGGGAGGGGGAGTCCCCCCACGGCCAATTGCATCGACCTGGAAGTGCCAGCAGCGCACCCAGAAGGACCAGGGGTGCACCTGGAAGTGCCAGCATTGCTTCTCCTGGCACTCCTACTCCCTGGCCGGCACTCTCGGGGGGACACCAGCAGTCCTGCCTGCACCCCCTGCCTGTTGCCTAAGCAGGAAACGCTGGCTGCCAGCATGTGTGCCAGTGCTTTCAGAGGGTGCACATGCACACCTGTGCACCCCCTATGCATTGCCACTGGGATGCACCATGGAAATCTTGACTGACTGCAGCAGGCCCCGCCCAGCACCACTGCCACCTGCCCAGCCCAGCCCCAGCCCTGGCCCTGGTTCTGGTGCGGCACTCCCGGCCCAGCCCCAGCCCTACCCTTATACCGCACCACCCCCACCACAACCGCACCCCTCCCCTGCCTCATTGGTGGAGGGGCCTTGCTTCTGGCTCACAGGGAAGAAAATGCAAAAGCCACGGATTTAAACTTGGTGCCATTTTTGTCTCCCTGCTGGGAGACAAAAACAGCGCTAAGGTTAAAACCACAGCTTTTGCTTCCCTGCTGATGAGGATTTCAGGGCCCCCTGATTGTTAGTGGCCCCTGGGGCCAGGTCCAGCTGGCCCATCCATTAATCCGCCTATGGGCTCAGCTCAGAGGTTATTGCAGGACCAGGCCTGAACACTTAACTCCCAGTGCAGGTATGTAGACCATAAATGATTTGTTACACCAAGCTGCAAATGTAATGGGAAAGTCCGGCAACTACAGGCTTTATTTAAAAGATCTGAAAGAAAAGAAATAGGATTTTCACTGCACAGATTGCACTGGTTGTTATGAACATGTTATGTTAATAGATCTCATCTTTGTGCAGCCTTGCAAAGACTCTTACAGTGCCACCCACCTAAGGATCTCAAACAGCTTTACAGACCCTAATAATAGCAACCAGGCCAGGTGTTCTAGTCCCTTTTCTGGCAGAAGAAAACCAAGGCACAAAGATGTTAGTTAATGCATGTAGCTAAACTCACTTGGCAAAGCCATAGCAGAGCTGGGAATATGACCCTCATTGCCTGAGGTACGTTCGTTCACTTTAAGCCTGGGATAAGCCTATGCTTAAAATCTTTGAAGTAGCTTTAACAATCCAAGCACACTGAATGCAGAATGTTAAAACCAATACTGCAAAAGTAAAGCTCAAGTGTTAGAGTAGCTCTTCTTGTGCCACGTTGGAAGGGGAGGAGCAGCTTGAATTTGAAAGGAGTTAAGCAAGCAACTACTGATTCCAGTGGGACTTCTGGGTGCTTGACCCTGACCAAAATCAGGTCAAGTGTGTGGCAATATTATAACAGGGAGCTAGGGACTCCCATTATTTAAGGGAAAAGCAGCAGCAGGGATGTGCCCACATGGGGGAAGAATGCAGGGGAGTAGGCAGCCAGGGAACCCATACGTTATAAGTGCCTATTGCAGGGTTAGCTGCCCAGCAATAGTTTGGTAAGGCAGAGCCCTGCTTGGGCAGCTAGGGCACTGCTATAGTAGCCACAGTAGCAGCAGTAAGCTGCCCTGGAGGCTGAGGGGGGCACCTGTGGCTGGGCAGCGGATCACCTAACTGGAAGGGGAGGAACCAGGGGATATAAACCTGGGCCCCCAAGGCGCTGGGGCAGTGCAGGGAGAGAAGCACCTGCCAGCTCAGGCTGGTGAGGAGTGAGAACTGCAAGCATGCCTGGTACTCCCAGGGCTGAAACAGCCAGACAGTAGGGAGGTAGCTTGGCAGTATAATGGCAGATAATGCAGAGGGGAGCCTATGAATTTGAAGTTGCTGCTTATGGGGTTTTTTTGGTTTGGTTTGGTTTTATACTGGAGGACTGGATGTGGCTGCAAGGGATGGAAAGGAAGGCACAGGAGTGCCTGAGGGACATGCTAGGTTTTGAGCCCTGCAAGAGGCAGGGTGCAAGGCACAGGCAGCTTGAGGCCAAGAGGGCTAGAGCTTAACCCCAAAGGGGGCAACACAGGTGTCCTGAGGCCATCGAGGGGCTGAGACTGAAAGGCCAGGCCAGAAGCATTGGACCTTGGCTACCAGTCTACAGCCAGAGTAATCAGTAGGCTAAGGCTAAGAAGGCCAAAGCCTATACAAGGGAGTCACTGGCAACCAAGTGACATCTGTGAGGCCTGGGTGTGTCTGTAGGGGTGGAAGGAGGCCATGAATAACCATTAAAACAACTGGTGCCCTGGGGCATGGGCAGGGCCAAAAGGGCCCCACTTAGTGCTTGATCAAATAATCTCATCCAGGCATAGCAGATGAGAGGAAGGGGAGGGTACCCTGAGGGGCCAGAAGGGGGCAAGAGCCGTGCAGCCACCAGGGGCTGTTGTGCCTGCCCCTGGGGCCTGGGCCTGTCACAGCTACCCACCTCTGTCACCATTGGCTGATAACTTAATTAGAGCCATGATTTTATCAAGGGAAACCAAAACCTCAGTGTAAAACTATGCATAGATCTGTATATGCAGATCTGCCACCTGTTGGTTGAGAGCCCTATTCAGACTGTCTGTGCCCAAGTGCCAGAAGCCAGTCACCATAGAGGCTGTACCTTTGCGAGAGTTGTTTTTGTCTCTTCCTCTGGTACAGAGTTAAAATACCCTTTAACAAAGCACAAAGTGATCCAGTGAAAGGTGCTGGGGAAAGTATGATCGGTCAGAGCAGAAGGAGAAAGTGAGAGACTACTGAATGCTCATATACAATCATGGCACTGTCCTTAATATCCTCTTTGTTGCATTCACTCTTCCATAGGAGAGTTGCAAAGGCACTAGGGCAGGGGCACTGTGAGAGGATACCAGTGAGCACTAGGTGCCCAATTCCCATTTGTGCCTTTGAAAACATCCCCCATAAGGTCTCCATTTCTCTTTCACTCTGTAGACTCTGAAGTCGATGGTAGTTCCAGAAGTTCTAGAGGCCGTTTGCAACATCTCCATATGACTATTCCCAGCCGAATGACAAAGATAACACAAGCCGCCACCAGTAGCACAACTACAAAAGAAACAATATGTTACTGGGTGAGAACATAACTAATTAGCGACTTCTCTTTATAGGGGTATTTGGGCAAAGAGTTAAACTGACAAAGAGCTCCACATAAACCCCAGTATTGTCCTAGTACCATTCCTTCACAATATCTACAGGGCAAGTTTCAGATCCAGCTGTCAGGCAGAGGAAGGTCTAGTTTGCACAAATTTTACTACTCTGAGACAGTCAGAAGGAGAAAAACCTTCTAGTTACGCTACTGGAATAGGCAATGCCAGCAAAGTGATCTGAGCTTCCCCATCCTCCATGGGATGTGGAATGGAAGCTGAATCTGTGCAACTGGGAACTCTCCAGCCCTCCCAAGTCTTATTTGGCCTTCCCCACCCAGCAAGATCCAGGAGAGGGGAGTAGCTCCTGTAGAACACAAGGGTATACGCTATCCCACTTGCAAGGTAAAAACGCATGCAGGGTATTGAGGAGGTGATGACTTGGAGGGAGCTGAAATATGCTGCAATGTAAAATGAATTGGAATGATTTTAGTCTGTGTTTCAACCCCAAAGTAGAAGGCCCCAGGGTAATAACGCCACAGTTAGGTTGGTCCCTAACTTTGTTTCATGCACAGAGTTCTGTGCAATAATAAAGGGACTTCATTTGGACTGCAGAAACTTGGATCTTTTTTTTAAGAGTACTGTGTATTCAATGTTGTTGCTTACAGCCTGGAGGTGCCTGGTGTGCTTGGAGCTATTGCAAAATTCCCTAAGCACGTGGAGCTTCCTAGAAGCTTCCCAGTGTCATCCTCCACATCATCCCCACTACAACTCTTGTTCCAACTTGCAGGGAGCCTGCTTTTCAAAGTAAATCCCTACTTGTTTTACAAAGGTCACCTGTAGCAGGAGGGTCCTTCTGCCTGCATGGAAAACACACTGAGGAAAGGACATGCAAGAGACTCAGGAGAGCTAAGTGGGCCGCTTTTTATAACATTAATTTAAACATTAAATGACTCACCTAGAAAAATGCTGTTGGTGTTTGGAGGTGAAGGGCTATAGTTCTTACACACGCTGCCAATCAGGGCTATAATGACCACTGGGTAAATGGTGAGGTTATAACGCACATACTTGTCCAGCAGGAAATTTTCAACATAAAACCTGGGAAGGAAAAAGAAGTGGCAACATCTAAACACACCTTGTAGCCAGTTTTTTTCTTCTAGGTAACTTCCAAAAGGAGCAGTTGGGAACAGTTCTGAACAATCCCCAGTCTGGATTTGACTATCTCTGTTGCTGGTCAGATCTAGAGATGAACTTAATGTGGGGCTTGTCAAAAAGAAAAAGTGAAGTGGGGTCATCTGAGGAAAGGCGAACAAAAACAAATCACAATTCACTGTTTCGTAGAATATTCGGGGGGGGGGAGGAATTACCTTTTTCTGCAGAAATTTCAAAACCTGAAATATTTTTGGCTAAGACCTAAAATAAGTCCATTCAGAAATGGAACTATGGGGCCTCCTGGGAGTTGCAGTGTGAATGCTTCACATTCCCATTCTCCTCTCTAGGCCTGGTTCCCTGGTCAGACTATAGACTGCACAGCAGCAACATTTCACAATGGAAATGTTTGGTTTTTCTGGCTTTCATTTTTTTGGGGGGAAAAGACAAAATCAATACCATTTTGGTCTGAAGCAGATGCTTTTATGAAAATTCTTGTTTACGCCAAGATTCAGTCTTTGTTGGAAAAGAATGTGAATAGGAGGTTGCCAACTAACCCTGCTTTGTGCTGAATTACCCTGCTCCCTTTGTGTTCAGTTATCTAATGGCCTAATGAGGCTTCTGCTTAATCCAGAAAATACAGCAAACCCTTATGTCTCAGCCTGACCCTGAAGCCATTTACTAGCAAGATCCAGATAGCAAGCATAGAAGCACAAAGGGTGTGAGCTTGAATCACTCTCTATTTATTTATCCTAGTTTAAGTCACTATGAACCCCAGTCGCCAGCAGTAAAAGGAAAAATACTGCACTAGCTCAATGTGGACACAACATTTGCTATGTGGAAGAGGTCACAACAGTGCAGAATAGCTCCCCAAAATAGTCGGTGCTCACTAGAAATGAGGTATGACCGGGGGCTGGCTAAGAAACAAATGCTGCATTGTGGTGTCTACTCCTAAGGGCTCAGGTGGGAGACAGGGCAGCCCCCTACATGCATGATATCTCAGCCACCTCCTCTCCTACAGGGCAAGTGTAGCCGCCTCCCCCCCACAATCACTCTCACTTTGCTGGATCTGGCTCCTCACCTGCACAGGACCTGTCCCAACTGATCACACCAACCTACCTCACAAGGGTGTAACCTGGGGGTCTCAGAGGAGAAGTGCTATGTAAACAGGAAGTGTATTATCTTGGGTCCAAATTGCCACTGCCCCAGAACTATAGCCAGACAGTTGTGGGGACTTTTAGCTACTTTTACACTATCCCCAACCTTGAGGCAGGCTGGCCCTAGGCTGCTGGTAACCCAGTGGCCTGTTTCCTGGGATGACTAAGGGGTATGGGGTGAGAAAAGCCACATACATGCTAACTTTTGCCATGACTCCTAACACAGGGCCTTGCCAGGGGTAGGTTACATGCTGCTCTGATGCCTCCATGCTGGGAGAACCCTCTCCGGGGATGGAGTCTGTTAATTCATTGTAAAAGGCAGCATCTGATGGACTGTCTAAGAGGTCTTACAAGGTGGGGAGGAGGAGCACCTACCATGCCACCTACCATATGAGTAGTTTAATGGCAAGGATGCACAGAGAGATGGTAGTTGCAGTCTTATTGGACACGTTTCCCTCATAGACCAGCACGACAGTAAAATTCAGCAGGGTAGCTATGGTAGTCCACGTCGCATACAGTGCAATCCCATTTTGGACCTACCACAGGGTACAATGAGACACTGACTGAGGGTAAGAAGCCAACACTCTGTATTCCTCCAGCACAGATCCTACCAGCCCTTCATGCCCCAAGGGAGGTTAAAATGGCTCTGCTACAACATATGAGGGTAAGAGCAGGATGAAAGAAGCCTGCTCCTAGCTTCACAGGAGCTGTATTTCCGGTTCTATGTTTCACAGAGGTCCCATCAGCACTTCACAGAGAGGGGTCTATGGGGAAAAGGGAGGGCAATGGATCCAAAACTATGCAGAGCTCTCCACCACCCTTGGAAGTCCCCCATAATGCTGCACAGCCAGACTGAGAAGGCTCCAATCCCAGTGGTCAGTACAGATCCCCACCCCACCGCACCCACCCCTATCCAGTTTGTTTCCTTCACATTTGTTGCATAAAGCATGATTTGGGCTATACACAGTAGGACTGTTACTACTTCTTCCTGGATTGTGAATTCTGATGCCTGACTCTGTCAGGGCTGGAGACACAGGTTGAGAAGGAAGTATATATGTGGCAAGCAGTTCCAGGGGCGTAGTTCAAAACTGCAGTCTGGAGAGATTCCTCATGTCACAGATTCCCTGGAAATCCTCCCTGATCCTCAGACTGTGGCTTCTGAAATGATCCACTTTCCAATGCCTGTCCCTAATCCAGCTGCACAGAAGGGAATCAAGCACTCAGGGAGAATGCTGTGGGCTAGGAGGGGAGCCAGTGCAGGGCAGGATGAGGAGAGTGTAGAGTTTCTTGGTCAGAAGCAAGGTAGAGAGGAAGGGATCGGGTGACAGCCCTGGAGCTCCTTTTGCTGAACCTTTCAGAATAATTCAGCCTGAGGCAGGCACCTGGCATGAAAAATTCAGCTTGAACAAGTAATGTTTGACAGGGGTGGAGGGTGAGCTGGGGAAGAGAAGGCATATTTTCCACTTCTTTTCCTCTGTGCAGTTTACCGGGCACAAACAGCTGGTGTTCTCAGCATTTGAAATAAATAATTTCCCTTCAGAATAAGATACCAAGTGAAAGGCAGAAGGAAGGAGGTGCTCAAGCAACACACGTTTTTCTCGATTGCATTTGCCATTTTTTTATAAGTAGTCTAATGGACTACAAACCAGTGTTTGGCAACCTGGATTATCAATCTCAATGCGAAGCATCATTCTGCAGCAACTCGAAACATGAGAAGGACCTGCTCCTCTTCTTTCTCACTCCCCTTATGTCAGCAGAAGGGGAACTACGAGAGGCCTCTATATGCATGCTACTGAGGGGAGTTAGCACTGAAGGAAGGGTTTCAACTCTCACACTCCAGAGGTCATATATTGGGACTCTGGCACCTTTGGTAGAACAATGAATAAGTAACAGCTCTCAAATGTCACATACCAGAATGCGGATGAGCCACAGATCTACTTTGTGACACTTTAGGAACCAAGCAGCATGAATACTCAAGGATCGGTGTGAAATGAAGAGACAAAGGTAACTGGCCAAAGTAAGGGCTGCCAGGAAAACCAAGGCTGGGATGAGGTACCTAGAGGAAAACACATGGGACAGTGTCTTAGCTTAACTGTATATTGGCTCAATTGATGTCCTAGCTCATGGCCTTTCTCTTGTGCTCAGAACAAACTAGGGATGAATCAACCCTTAACACAGTTTTGGCTTAACCTAGAGCTAGTCCACTTATGCTACATCTCACAGAGGAATTTTAGGAGCTGCATTTCTCTGACTGCCAGCGAAGTATTCCCCTTCCTGTATTTCTGCTGCACTATGCCCTTGAAAATGACTACGGTCACAAGAGTAATCCAAAGGCCACAAGAGCAACCAGATTTATGACAAGTGATTCAAAATGACAGCTTCAATTTTGCCACTTGCATTCAACATATGCAAGACCAGCAGGTTGGTAAAGATCTTAGTCATAGCTCATGGCCCAGAAGCAAATGTTACACAAGGTCAACACTATATAAAGGTTGCCTAGCCTTGCCCCAGGCAATTTTAAATTGAGTGACTACCTTTTGTTCTCTGGGATTACACAAATGTGTAATAAGCAGCGAGTCAGATCTAGTGCAAAGATTAGAGGAGCTCTGTTGCAAAGGTCACTTACTCTCGGTCCCACAGGAAGAGCCATCCAACAATAAGGATGTTGTTCAGTATCCACACCAGATAAAAGGATATCGGCAGTAAATCTGGCTTCATATAGACCCATCCAAGTTCATTCCTGTCGATGAAAAGTGGGCTTTTTCAGAAAGCAGCATGGACTGTGTCAGATCCACCAGGGAAAAAGAAGCAAGCATTGCAGGTCTGATTTTCCTCTCCCTTACAGTGACTCACATAGAATTTGTGTTTTGCCTGCTTGAATACAATTGCACTAGTGTCAGGGAGAGGTGAACCAGGCTCAGTGGCTTTACAATCACCGTAATACACCATGGTAGACCATTGCATGCTATTATCAGAAGCTATACCCCCATATATGCAAAATATCAGCATTGATGGTTAACCCTAATGTCCTCACACTCCATAGCACCAATGCCTACTGTATCCTCCCTCTCTGACTGTGACGTAAATTGGGATCAGTAATAGGCATACTTTTTCTTATCTGTCTGCTAGCTAGGCTGGAGAATACCATACCATTTTATGTTTGAAGACTGCTCCCAGTAACAATTCTTGCTACCAACCAGTTGGTAGATTTGGAGGTAGAAGACTTAATTCTCATTTACACTATGGACTCTTTATACTGCTCTGGAGCTGTAAAGGGGCTGCCATCTTGATGAGAATCAGGAGGCTGAGTTTTCTGTTCAGATTTTTCTACACGCTTGAGCTAATCTATTTAGCTGATATACTGTGGGTGCATCTACATGGGTATTAATGCCCCGTATTTATGATGCATTAAGTTTAGTACCTGCAATTTACAATGCTCTGTAAATTGGTGTTACTGCACATTAGTGCAGTTGAACAGGTTTTTGGGGATGCTAGATTTATTCTACTACACATTAGCGCATTAGCATGGGTTTTGCCCACTGCACTAACGCGGAGTAAAATTAGTCTTCAGCACATTAAGCATCTCATGTAGATGCATCCAATATGCCCAGTCAAAACACTGCTCAGGGAACTGGCTAGGACAGGGGTGGGCAAAATATGGCTCATGGGCCAGATCCAGCCCACCAAGGGATTTTATCTGCCCTGCAGCAGGTCCTGTGGCCCCACTGACCCAGGCACAGTCGTGTGTGGCTGTGGTGTGTGCAGCCAGCCCCACTGCTCCCAGGTGCACAGTGGGGTTGGGGCAGTGTGGCAGCCAGACTCTGCTTCCCAGCAGCCCCAGTGGCTCCTTCCAGCTGCCACTGCTTGTGTCACCATCACCACTGGAGCCAGCTCCACTGCCTGGGCAGCCCGGCTCATCCATCCCACACCCACCACCAGGGGTGCCAAACGGAGTGGGCAGGCAGGGTCTCCATGGAGACTGGCCTTGGACCTGTGTGGGCAGGGCATGCTCAGCTGGACAGATGGGATGGGGCTGTGGGCAGGTGTGGAATCAGAAAAAATATCTGCCTTAAACTTTGATTATTTTAGTTATAAGATGACATAACCGCTTTGTGGAGAATTGCTGGCTCTGTACAGTAGAACAGATAAGAGAAAGTGTTTGTTCTTTGTAACTCCTCTGCAACTGCTTCGCTCACCGCGGCCTTGAAGATAGCAAAAAAGTATGTACAAATCTGATTTCCAGGTGCAAGAAGGAGGTTTGTGAACTAACCTCGCCTCCCCCATTAGTTCCCATCCTGATTACAGCAAAGAAATAATGAAGTAATATTATAGCCGCTTTTCATGCTAATTTCACTATATGATCACGTGAGTTGTAAGCAACTGTTAAAAAGTATATAAGCCTCCTGATTTTGCTCTTGGGGGGGACCCCTTCCAAGTGCTTGGGAAATCCATGTCACTTTGGAGTCCCCCCTACAGCTGTAGTTTCTTTTGAATAAAAGCTTCTGCTGACCTGACCCAAAAGTATGCTGCGTGTGTTTCCACGACACAGGTGGGGAGGAGCATCCAGGAGTGGGATGGGGGTGGGACTAGAGGTGGGTGGGGCTAGATCTAGGGGTGGTGAGGGGTTGGGGCCCTGGACAGAGCCACGATCCACTGCCCGCAAGTCTCTGTGATGGGCACCGGTTTTGCAGATGGGTGTGAAGGGAGTGGATTGCGGCTCCACTCTGGGTCCTGGCCCCACACTGTCACCATGCCTAGATCCTGGCCCCAGCCCCACCCATCCATCCTGCTCCCACATACCGCTCTCCACCTGCCCGTGGTCGCACCCCATCCACTTGGCTGAGTGTGCCCTGCCTGTGGGGGTCCCAGGCTGATCTCCATGGAGATCCCAGAGCCAGAGCTGGGATCACTGCGTGGTGACAGCACACAGCCAGGCCCCAGGACACTTGGGGAGTTTTGGTGAGCTTTGGTGAGTGGGCAGGGGCAGGGTGCTGACCCGGCCTGCAACAGCTCACCAAAACTCCCTAAGTGGCCCTCCAGCCCAAATAATTGCCCACCCTGGGGCTAGGGTATGCAGTAAACTAAGATTCGGGAATCTTGTGATTCTTATCCCTTGAGTTCAGTGGAGATGACACCATGGCCTTTTCCACCACATTCTACATCAGGGTAACTCTTGATTTCCTGATGGGCACCTCTATGAGATCAGAGCCAGACCCCATGGATTTTGGTAAGGCGAGAACACAAAGTGTCATTCCCTAGTACTCCAGGTAAATACTTTTGGGTAGCGGTGCTCATCTGTGCATGCAGCTAGTGGGTCAATCAGTAGTACTTACATAACTGGGTACCACATAGATGGTTAGGGGCAAGGGATTATCCTGTATGAACTACACTCTCTTCCTTTCTACGCCACCAATAGGCTCACTGCTTCCATAATGTCGTCGTGAAGGAAGTCAACTCTTCTGCTGAGATATATTTTCAAGCAACTCTATTTTTTCCTTTCCCTGGGTTTCCTAGTCTTTCTTCCATTAACATTTTGTCTAAACAACAAACACTTTGGGGCAAGTCTTGTCTGGATCTTATGCCTTGTGCAGTGCTAAGTCTGTACAGGTAATAAATAATCAAATAGTAGACACAATGCATGAGACTTGACCTTCCACTCTGACTAGACACCTCAAAGAGGGGTGCCCCAACTCAGCAATGGTGGAGCAGGAGGAAGACTCCCATAGTCAGATTTTATGGAGAAAAATACCTTCTGCAGATTCCTGAGAGTGCATAAATCAGCCAAGCAAACTGCCAGAGGAAGATGACATTCCAAATGAGGAAGGTCCCACCAGCCGGTGTGAAGCCCGTGTTGTACTTGGGAGGAAGGTCCCCCCAGCCGGTGTGAAGCCCGTGTTGTACTTTGTTTGAGATGTTTCCGACGCTATTGTGGAATATACCTGTTGCATGGAAAGTTATTGCAGGAAAACATGTTACAGCACAGAAGAGACTACTAATCACCATACCCTGCAATTCTCCCTGGATCTTACTGCATCAACATAAATCCATGAGACCTCACAGGACATGCTTGGAGAAATGATGTCTGGGCTCTAATGGGCTTGTTTTTTACAAAATAATTAATGAATTATTGTAAGTTATGAAGAACAGGTGTGAAATGCCATGATAAGAAGGAATTTACAATTACACAAAACCAGAAAAGCCAGTTGTGCTTGAAACCTATATCTGGAAGCTAGGAGTGAAGTTCAGGAGAGCTGGCTGTACTTTAAAGAAGCCTTGCTGAGAGTGCAGGAACAAACCATTCCAATGTTCAGGAAGGCTAGCAAATATGGCAGAAGACCAGCTTTAAGAAAGGGAAAAAGGAGGATCCAGGGAACTACAGACCAGTCAGCCTGACCTCAGTTCCTGGAAAAATCATGGAGCAGATCCTCAAAGAATCCATTTCTGAGCACTTGGAGAAGACAAAGGTGATTAGGAACAGTCAGCATGGATCCACCAGGGGCAAGTCATGCCTGACCAACCTGACTGCATTTTATGATAAGGTCACTGGCTCTGTGGATGTGGGGACACCAGTGGATGTGGTGTGCCTTGATTTTAGCAAGGCTTTTGATATGGTCTCCTGCAACATTGTCACAGGTAACCTAAGGAAGTATGAGCTTAATGAATGGACTGTAAGGTGGATAGAAAACTGGCTGGAGCATCAGACTCAGAGTAGTAATCAATGGCTCAATGTCTAGTTGGCAGCCAGTATCAAGTGGAGTGCCCCAGGGTTTGGTCCTGGGGCTGGTTTTGTTCAGTGTCTTCATCAATGACTTTGATGATGGCATAGAGTGCACCATCAGCAAGTCTGCAGATGACACCAAGCTCAGGGAGTAATAGATACACTGGAGAGTACAGCTAGGATTCAGAATGACCTAGACAAATTGGAGGATTGGGCCAAAAGAAATCTCATGAGGTTCAACAAGGGCAAGTACAAAGTCCTGCACTTAAGACAAAATAATCCCATGCACCAGTACAGGCTTGGGGATGACTGGCTGGGTAGCAGCTCTGCAGAAAAGGACCCAGGGGTTACAGTGGACAATAAGCTGAATATGAGCCAGCACTGTATCCTTGTTGCCAAGAAGTCTAACAGCATATGGGGCTGCGTTGATAGGTGTGTTGCCAGTAGGTCAAGGGAAGTGATTATTCCCCTCTGGTCAGCACTGGTGAGGCCACATCTGGAGTACTGTGTTCAGTTTTGGGCCCCCCCACTACAGAAAAAATGTGGACAAATTGAAGGGAGGCCAGTGGAGGGCAACAAAAATGGTGAGGGGGCTGGGGCACATGAGGACAGGCTGAGGGAACTTGACTTTTTTGGTCTAAAGAGAAGACTGAGAGGGGATTTAATAGGAGTCTTCAAGTACCTGAAGGAGGGTTCAAAAGAGGATGGAGCTGGACTGTTCTCAGTGGTGGCAGATAACAGAACAAGGAGCAAAGTCTCAAGTTGCAGGAAGGGAAGTTTAGGTTAGATATTAGGAAAAAATTTCTCACTATGTGGGTAATAAAACACTGGAACAGGCTACCCAGAGAGGTGGTGGAATCTCCATCCTTGAAGGTTTTCAAGACCTGGCTAGACAAAGCTTTGGCTGGGATGATCTAGTTGGCGAGGGTCCTGCTTTGAGCAGGGGGTTGGACCAGATGATCTCCTGAGGTCCCCTCCAACCCTCATTTTCTATGATTCTAAGCAATATCCATACTTGACAAACTCTCCCTCATCTGGAGTTGAAAGCTGGTGGCACTGCTCTGTATAAAAACCACAGAAAGCAGATGTCTTTTCCTGCTGCCAAGGCCCCGGGTGCTATACAGCGGCTATGTGGAAACTCAGTGGGCGCATCTACATGTTCATTAATGTTCTTTAGATACTGTGTATTTAGTTTAGTACTTGCTTAATAAAGTACTAACTAAATGTGCAATAGGTAGAGTTACTGCACAGTAGTGCCGGCTTATAGTTATTTTGTGACGCTGACTGTGCATTAGCCTAACAACACTGTGCAGCAAGCTATTAGCATGGTTTTTAACCAGCACACTACTGTGCAGTGTTATTTGGCTAAAGCGAAGTAAGAGTCTCATGTAGATGTGCCCAGTAAGTACAGAGGATGCAAAAGTGTCTGTTACATGTGTCACACCCTAATCCAAAGCCCACCAGAGTTAAAAGAAACGTGCCCCCTAGCTCTGTGGGACTTTGGCTGAGGCTCATATAGGCCAGGCTGAATTGCAGCCAATGCCCCATGACGGTTTCCCCTCTGGAGGGTTCATGGCCCAGGGGGATGAGGAGGCAATGGCGCCATTGCATAAGTCCCCTACACACAGGACAGTAAAGCTGGCTGGGTGGGAGGTATAAGCCAAAGTGTGTAAAGGAGCAGGGTAGAAGCTGGCATACTGATTTGGTGCCGATGGGAGTTCCAAAAGGCTTTTGCCAGGATGTCCTCTGATACTTTCTGAAGAAGGGCAGCTCCCACAATTTCTTAGGGTATGGATACATGTACAGTTGGAGCCTTTTCAACAAGGGAACATTTCACAGGGACAGCAGGAACAATACAAATGTAGCAAAACTGCTCCAACTTTAATACTGGATGAAGTAGAACCCCTGCCACTCAGTACCTCATTTACAAACCCCCTGAACTGGAACACAAGGAGTAGTGGGTCACTGGAATAAAAGCCACAGGGCAGAAATAGCAACTGCTGCTTGCATTACCTTTGAAGAGTCCCGTACCGGCTCCAACATTAAACACCACCATGATTATGTAGATGGCAAAGCTCAGAAACATTATAAAGATCTTCAGTTTGTTGTGTGTAAACATCTTGCAGGCTGAAAAGGAAAATGAGAATAAGAGACAGAGGCAAAATAGATTTCAATCCCCTGCATGTTTGTATAACTCGGGCCACCACCATGGCCTTTTGTCTCCAGGGGAGTCAGAGGCTCCATCAGATCAATGTGTCAAAGGGAGATGTGGCCCTCAGAGAATGTCTACAGAGCAAAATGAGGTTATAACTGTAACACATACTAGAGCAGCGATTCCCAAATTCTGACAGATTGCGCACCACCAATTTAAAACAATACAACCTTAAGTAACACCAACAAATTTTCCAGTTCAGCCTTAAGTACCACCAACAAATTTTTGTCATATAAAATAATTATAATAAATCTGTTAACGTGTACCACTGACAGGTAGTCTGCGTATCACTGGTGGTACAGGTACCAGAGATTGGGAACCGCTGTACTACAGTATCTGTGCTCGCTTACTTGAGATAGCATGATTGAGTATAGGCATGAAAATGCAGTGGCCTGGGTTTAGTATATGCTAGCAACCAGAACAAGTTCCCAAAGCCTTAGAAGGGTTGGTATTCTGGTAACCACATGCAAACACAATGCCGTGTGTTCACTGGTTTTGTTATTCATAGATTCATAGATTGTAGAGTCAAAAGGGACCACAATGGATCATCATGTCCGACCCCCTGCCCCTGGCAGGAAAGAGGACCAAGGTCAGGTGACCCCAGCCAGGTGACTATCTAGCCTCCTCTTGAAGACCTCCAAGCTAGGTGATAGCACCACCTCTCTTGGAAGCCTATTCCAGATCCTGGCCACCCTTACAGTGAAAAATTTCTTCCTAATATCTAAGCTAAATCCACTCTCAACTAGTTTACACCCGTTATTCCTAGTCACTCCCTGGGGCAACTTAGTAAACACCACTTCCCCTATTCCCCATTGACCTCCCCTAATAAATTTATAGGCGGCCACAAGATCTCACCTCAGCCGCCTCTTGTGAAGGCTGAAGAGATTCAGCTCTCTCAACCTCCCCCTGTAGGGTCTATCATGAAGGCCACTAATCATGCAAG